GTCATGTCATTAAAATGCATGTACTGTATTGTATTTGTTGGTACTATAACATTAATAAATACGATGCAGGACAAAACGAAGTGTTTTGTTGTATTTAAATATAAAATTATATAGTCATAATACAATTTTTTTAAAGAACCAATACAATTTTGCCCAGTGTTCTTATTTTTTTGCCAATTTCCGTCTCGAAATGTTCTTATTCTCTTCTTATTTTTTACACACTTCTCAAACATATAGAACATTATTTTTGTACGGCATTATATTATTGTACTGTTAGGGTATTACATAGTCACATCTATTGCACGAAAGTACTGATAAAACTTTTTCTTCTAGTGTTTAAACAATTAAGTGTAAACGAATTAATAATAACCAAATAAAGGGCTTCTAGGTAATTATTAATTATATTAATAGGTTGACCCTGATCTAAGGAGTACGGTAGTCTTATGTTGGATGTTTCGTGTCCATATCCATTAAAAATTCATTCCCATCATTTTGATATTCTGTGGACCTAGCTACATGCTGTTTTGAAATAATAATGTGTAGGTCTACACAGCATAACTGTAAAATAATGTGAAGTACAGTTCACTATTGGGAACGTTTAGTTTAGGAAGATAGACTGTGGATATGATAGGACTAACAACCACTTACAGCAGCAGAAGCTGTTGCACTTATGTACAAAGACATTAGGCTAACAATGTTTAAAAACTACATATCAATGGGTATTGCAGAGGCTTGATTTTCTAGGCCTATAGGGTGGGTCCAATACCTTTTATATGTCAACAGTGAATTTACGCCCGGGATATCCGCTTAGTAGTTGCAGTATTCTAGCTGCTTCATTCTTTCCGGGAAGGTACTTTTAACAGTCGCTTTCCAATCACTTGACAGGATACATATTGCTGTGCACTTATGATAGGCCTATCTCTTATGATATTATTTTCAACACACTCTACTTTTTGATGAAATTCTGTGCTATATCTAAAAGCAACTACAGTAGCTGGCTCATATAAAGGTTATTAGACTTGACAAGAATGTTGTTATGTTGATAGAAGTCCACATGTCCAAATGACCTTATTATTATTATTATTATTATAATTAATATTATTATTATTATTATTATTATTACTATATTATTATCATTATAATAATATTATTATATAATACTATTATTATTATTATTATTATTATTATTAGCCTATTATTATTGTTGTTGTTATTAACTATTTCTGTTATCATTATTATTAGGATATTATTATCATGCCTATTATTACTAGGCCTATATACAATAGCCCTATATATTGGCAATTGACAAAAGTAAACATTCATGATTTTGACAGATTTCGGAATCTACCCAAATTTGTTGACATTGAACTACCGGTACTTGTTGTGTACTTTCTTTAAAATGAGAAAAAAAAAACTAGCAGACGGTGGTGCGTTTTGCCACTGGCAGTTAACCTGGCAAAGCCATTGCATTGCGCGACCAGTTAGAAACGCTGAGTGAGGCTTGAATGAGTGCATTCGCCGATTTTATTAACAGAATAAATGTACGACACATGAAACGCCTTGTTCTTTGTCAATTGGTAATCACATTTGATAATTAATAGCACGCAATGGTGTATTTAACCGTTTGAATCTTGTAATTAAATTGAGTGATACGTTCATTCAAGAAATACAACAGCAGATCTCAAACAACTGCTGAATCAATTTAACTACGAAACTTAATGGAAATAGAGGAATTAATTATGGGAATTATAGCGAACCGTGGTTAGGTACCGGTAACTCAAACTAGAACGAAACAATTTTAACCATACTTGAGATAACTGTCAAATCGTTTTTTGAATTGAAGAGCCTTCGTTATGGAAATGAAATTGACAGAATTAATGAAGAAACAAAAGTATCGGTAACCAATAATCAATCATAATAATTGATACAAGTCAGTTACATTCGTTCGCATTAGTGATAGCCGTAACAGGCTTAACCCGGTAAGCTGTACATACATAAGCGCTTCGTAACTAAAAGTAAAGGCACTATAGTAGGCCTAATAGGCCTAACAAGTTAGCAATAATATTAAATAACCTCATGCTATTGAAGCAAGCAACTGAGTGAGCAAGTGTTCTCACTTTGTTCAATATTTTGCATTTAAGGATACCTCAAATTTAAGCGCAACGGTATTTTAGTGTGAAAGGAATTTATTAAAATAAATAAATAAATAAATAAATAAATAGAGAAGTACCGCATTTTATGCCTTCTTAAGGGGCGGTATTCCCAATGAAGTAAAAAGTACTGAAATTAAGTGGCCAAGCCTATTTACAATTAAATTTACATAATGCGAAATTACTACCCCGTCATTGTTGGGGAAATGCCAAGGCTACGAGACAGTAGCATCTTCCCGAGGGTCTCTTGTAACCCTTGCCGAATCCCCAGAGACACACAACCTTGAATATGATGTACAACAGAGGCGGAAACTTTGGACAAAAGGTTACATATGGGTAATTTTAGGTACGTTGTAGTTTCCCTTGCGATATGGTGTTAATTTTTTTCTCCATGTTCTGGCATAGAAAGAGTTACGAGGCAGATTTTGATGGCGTTGGAAACCGCCCTTAAAAAAGTAAAATATGCCTTCAGAAGTATGCGGGAAATCCATTGTTTTAAAGCTTACGATATGGAGACATAAATTGTTATAAATGTCAATAAAGTTTTCAAAAAGTAATTTTGATAGTTTCAACAAGTACAATGACCTAAGAAACTACCATAAGATAAGGTAAGCTACCGTACAGGTATCGGCCACACATACGTATGTATATTAACATTTGTACAGGCAATGGAGCCGCATTATACCGCCCCCCTTAGGCAAGCCGCTAAAGATAGACCCCACTTCTTTTTTCCGAATACTAACAATTTCACATTGAAAAAAAAAAGAAAACATACATACTTTTAAGATTGTCTTAATAAGCGCTTTTAATAAATTATTCTACAACTTATAAGGTCTGGTAACAGTTAAATAATCTCTAAATAATTGAGTTTATTGTATTCAATTTAGTTTTCACACATTTACCACTTAAAATGACACTCTCACAAATCATTATAATTTTTTCCAATTAAAAATCGGAAGATATTCATCCAATTAAAATGATATCGAAATACTTAATCATAGAGGCAAGTTTGATCCAGGGACCAACTGAAAATTTCGATATTTGCCGGAAGAGTTTAATTTTAAAGTTAGATAACTGACAATCGTGTTCTCATTAGGAATTAGGCGTAACTTCAGATTTACAAATATTTCATTGAAATTCTGTCTTAAAATTATTTTATTCTACCATACTTCTCAAAAGGTTTTGCATAATTACTGATAAAAAGACAAGAAATATTAGCCAAAAGAAAGTTACCTAATTGTACCTAAACCAAATCTCTAGATGTTTCATGTAAATCATTCTGGCCGTACAGATAATGATCCAACGATACAATACTAATTAACCCACAGACCTCCAGTCCCCCAGGGAAACTTTGTTTTCTTTTCTGTATGTCACTAGATTGCATCAAATACACACTAGTTCAAGGCTATGTAGGAACAAGTGGAGACCAATGCGTGTCAAACAAGTGCGCAAAGCCGACAAACTTTAACTGACTCGGCAAATTTCAAAAACAAAACAGTCATTTGGGCTTAGTCACTAGATCGAGTGATCACAGAAGCATTTGGATTTGGCACGTGAATCAACGAATTTCAGACATCTGTTAGGTGTCATCATTAAAATCCATTTTTGAATTATAGTTTGATAGTTTGATGTAGTTAGGTACCCAATTATGAATATATAATTTTGACATGTAAACCGTGTTTTAAAAGGAAGGATACAATAGGTATTTTTTTTTTTTATCTTAAACTGAATTTCGTTGAGATGAACACATGGCCTATATTGCACGAATACGGTACTTAGTATTGCAAATATGAAAGTATTGACAGGCCTGTTTCTGTTTCACCGTATCACTTAATATAAAGGGCCTCTCCCACACTAGAAGAATGGGTGTATTTACGATAGACTTTCATGGGGAAATTAAGACTATAAAAGAGCGTAGACCTAATTATCAATTCAATTTACATTTGACCTAATATTAAATGTTTTTATGCATTTTCCTCATTAATATACATTGTATTTTGTTTATTTTAATGCATTTTGCTTAGGATATTCATTGTCTTATTCGCTGTATCTTTATCCGATTTTAATGTATTTGTTGTATAGGCCTATTGCTTATGTGAATTACCAAAATATATAAAATAACAAATAAATGATAGGCCTAACCATATAAAAATATACTAATTATACATTATGCCTATTCAGATTCATACTAATCATGTCTGCTAAATTTCACCTGGCTATTTTATATTCCAACAGGTTTGGTTCCAAAATCGACGAGCAAAATGGAGGAAGAAGGAAAGATTTGGACAACTGCAAAACATGAGAGCTATGGCACCGGGTACAGGATATGAGATGCCCATCGCACCCAGACCTGATGCATATGCACAGGTTGGGCTACAAGTACGTTATACATTGAAATGTATTGATTATAACTATATAGGCCTAAATATCTACAGTATCTTGATACTGATGGTGACTACAACTATGGTTGTGGTGGTGGTGAACACCAACGATGGTACTGGTGGTGATGGTGATGGTGTTGATGTTGATATTGATGATGATGAGGATGATGAGGATGATAATAAGTATGATGATAACTAAGAGGATGATAATGAAGATGATCAGAAGATAATGATGATGAGAAGATAGATGTTAATAAAATTGGTGGTAGTGGTGATTAAATTAATAGTCTGCCGTTATTAATAGTCCTACCGTAGTTGTTTGAAATAAACTATCTATTAAATTTAGGAGACTCATTTGTGAGAGTCATCGCGAACTTGTTAACCATTACAAATAAGACCCAAAAAAAGTTAAAAGGTCTAAGGTACTCGGTTGGATTGACCCTGAGGCATCCTAGCCCCTTCCCAAACGACCCTGTACATAGATCCACCATATCTATTGTTTAATTTTTGACCTGCTTCAATCGTAAGTGAGAGCTAGTGGTTTGATGTTGTCCCTGCTGGAATAGTAAGAGCGGAAGACGCTAACTGAAAAAGTCAGTTGCGTTGATAGATTAGCCCTTCAATATCATATGTTTTTTGTCATAGAAATCTTATTAAATTATTCCAATTTTTTAAGTAAAGTCAAACGAATTCTTTATTCTTTATTCTCAACCAACAGTGTAAAACACCAATAATAGGTTGAAATAAAATTTTCAGTAAACAGAGCATAAATATATACAATACAAATTAAAAAACGAGTTCATTAATAATACTTTTAAATTGCGAGTAATTACAGTTAAAAATATCCAAAAAATTATTCTTTAAAAGACAAGCGTTACGGTATAAGCTGACGAAATTCTACGGAAAATACCATTTTTACAAACATTTACACGAGAATGTTATGAATACCAATTGGTTTTATGTCTGTTCTTACCATTTGTGTTTCATTCTTTTATTCTTCTTTTCTTTTTTTTTTATTATAAGAATTCTCAAGAACTATAGATATCACATACTATTAATTTTCTTAATAATTCAATAGTTTGTAGGTATGTAGCACGTTTAATACTTAAAGATATTACACATAGGAAACAAACTTTACAATTCTATATATTAATAATTAATATAAAATGACGGAACGTTTGTAATGTGTATTTTTATCTGTTTAATTCAGATGCAGAACTCACCGTGGGTTGGCAATATGGCAGGATTGGGTGGCATGAACCAATCACATCAGATGCAAGCCCCTCATCCGAGTTCCTGTATGGCACCACAGAGCACCCTTCCTAACTTTATGGGAGTACCAAACCACAATCATGCCCAAGCTATGAACGTAATGTCATCCGTTTCCAGTCCAACTCCAGCAACCTTCATGAACATGACCAGTACTTTCAATGGTCAGTATCCTGAAATGCATTGTCAAGATACTGATAGAAGATCTAACAGCATCGCTGCACTTCGCCTACGGGCGAAGGAACATAGCAATGTTATGGGCATGATGAACGGTTATTCCTAAATTTTAAATAATGGAAATGGGAAAAGACGATCACATAACAATTCAGTGCAACGTTTGATAAAATAAAAACTTAAATATCAGGGAAAAACCAAAGGCAATATTGACGAAATATGAAATTAATTATTCGGGGCTGTTTTCCACCCCTTATGGAAATGACATCTGTTTTCCATTAAACGCTGTGAGAAAAGCTATAAACCTAACAAAAATAGGGTGCATGAAGATTTGGTTGCAAGCCGGGTCTGCCATTGTGTAGCGGGATTGAATTCTTACACCGGATTTCTACGCATCCGCATGTTCTTGTTACCACCAGTAACATCTTGTAATTTCTTTCGTTGCATTGGTTGCATCCGTGTTATTTTCCAACTTTTATGTGGATTTCTCAATCTGTACTCAAGCTGCCTTTTGCATCAAAAGCGTTTGATAAAGCATGCCGATCACGTGGTTTCTGTCGATGTGAGTTAAACGTATTTCTATTGTTTTCAGCTTTTAAGACATCGCCTTGGATATCATAACGACATGGCGTCCCAAGACATCAGGGTAGACTAGCGTTGTGTAGTCACGTGGTACCAAGATACTCAGGAGAAATGGTAGACAACATTCATGACCACTGCCTAGAGCTTGTCTGTTTGTGTTGAAGAAGTTCGGATGTTGATTTTTCTTTGTCATTTTGCACTGAAGACAAGCTCTTGAGCAACAGTCAAAGTGAGACTTCCTTAAAGTGCAACACGTTGACCAATTCAATTAAAATGTTGAGACCTGATAATATCGGGTTAAATCATAAGTTCATAAAATCATGGAGAATATAAAAACAACATGATATAGCCTAATTGTACTGTAATAATTTCGTAATATATTTTTAATGTTGGAGTATAAACAGTATAGGCTATTATTATATAGATATAAGTGATATCGGTGAGACACAGACCAGAAGATGCAAACGATTTGACAAGATCTGTCAACGCAATTGTGTTTCCAATAAGGAACCGTTTTTACTATATGACATTTACAAATATGACATGTATTTTCTTGATCAGATAATGTGTTTGTACAACTTCTTTACTCCACATACTTACTATTCTATTTGTCTCATTGGGAATCTGAGTTTAACCCGAATGGTCAACTCGTGTCATTACAATAATGTTGGTGGTTCTCCGTCATTAAATGTCAAGTTGGTAATAAAGAGATGAAGAGCTAGTGTGAAATAGTGAGAGTGAATAAGTGTTGGTGAATTATGTCTATAATAATGTACTATATCCGTTGTATATATTACATTTGATGACTTCTGTTTTAAATGCATCATTAGATTCATCTTGAGTACGGACATATATCCCTCTCTATCAGTACTCCCACTCTAGTTAGTACTCGAATTATATTTCTAGTTTATATTTATTGTTTATCATAATTATATGTATGTTTGCTGCAGTTAGCGAAATGTTTATCTTGTTGATATGTGTCTGTACAAAATGTTTTCCTATAACATTATGCACAACAAAAATTAAAAGTCACAATTTCCGTGTTATCTTAAACAAAAGTAGGCCTCTTGCTATTAGATTGGTAAATCACTAGTCTGGGTGCCATTGAGGTCGTGCCATTCTGGTGAATTATTTCGAAAATCTGGCAAATAATTTCTCAGCTTTTAAAAATGTCTCAGACACCGTAACATTTATTGAAAGAGCAGAAATGATTTTTTTTTCTTTAAATAGCCTATGGCGTTGTGGGAATACTCGAATGCCAGAAAATCACCTGTTTGTCCCGGTCCTTAGTAGCTACTGACATGTTGGTTAACATCTATAAATAAATATTAGTCAGATAACGTAAACTGACAAATTTAACTAGGAATACATATCAAATTTGTTTTTATAATTATTGTATTACTGAACATTGATTGGTTGGCAAATAGTGCCATGTACTGAATTATATTACAGGTAAAATAGGCTCAATTTAATCATTCAATCAATCAATTAACGTTCCGGTTGAAAACGTTAAAACCAATAGGGCCATGTAAGAAAATATACATTTAATAAAGATTGATTCGATTGATATAATAATATTCCACATTTGACATTCATAGTCAGTTTCTAACTATGCTATATAATATATTTTGACATAATGATATAAATATTATATCATATCATCTTATATTATATCATATTATGATATAATGTGTGTTTAATCGAATTACTATCATAGGCCTCCACATTTCTTTAGATTACGTCACGGTTATATCAAAAGCTTTTGAGAGTAAAACTCATAAAACGAGACCTGCCACTGACGAATACAAAAAATAAACCCGATATATTATCATAACATCGTCATATTTATAAAAGTTATTATACAAGGGAGAATCAATATTACATTGAATGTGAATGGTATACTTAGAACGTGACTTATTATACAATATATAACTCGATATTCTGACAGAAAGTTCAAAATAATATATATTTTTGATATTGTTATAAATGTTGAGATTGTTTAAATTCTACTTGGTGGATTTATTTTCAAAAGCAATGATACGATCTATTTGTATTACTAGGGAAAATCAAAACAGATACCACACTAGAAACGATGGTTGAAGTTACATTGTTAGAAATTATAAAAGAAACATTGTGAGATGTATTGTGTCGTAAATAAACGTTTATAACACAATAAGAGATTTATAGATATTTTCAAATTGATGTTTGATTTTCTATCAACTTTCTGTGATTTTTGGTTTCATAGTTTAGTGCATCTATAATTCATTTTTTCTGCGTGACAATATTGTGGAGAGAACAGTTCATGGGATAGAGTATACAGTGAGAAATGGAGTTTCATATATTTGTACACTGCACAGGGATGATTTTGTAAATAAATTAGTTCAAATTAAAAACGAATTATGTGTGGTGAATCTATATGGTATTATCATTGGAACTGTTTCATGAAATATAGGCCTTAACGCCTTACAATGTGCCAGTGCAAAACAAAGTATCTATTGCATACACACCTTATATAAAATAAAATCTGTAATAATTACAACATGTTAATTGTAATAATTTAAAGGCCTCTTCGTTGCTCATTAGTATCTATAAGTTACTATTGAACAATAAGAACAATGATAATAATAAAGAGTAATGATGTAATGATAATGACAACAATAATAATAAGATAATGATGATAATAATGACAATAACTAATGCTTGCGGTACACCACGTAGATAGTTCTCTTCAGATATTATTCTCCTGAAGACGATTATTATTACTTCGCCATGCAAAACTTCAAAGAATAATAATGATGAGAATAATAATGATAAAATTAAAATAAATAGGCTTAATGGCTGAAGTTATTTGATGTTCCTTAAAAGATGTGTTTTGATACCGGTATTTGCTTATGTGCATGTTGTCTGAAATTGTTTGAGATGTAATGGGAGAGAATTCTTAAGAGTAGTGGTTTTAAAGGTAAAAGATCTCATAGTGATAATGACATAGATAATGATAACTATAATGATGATGATTATTATTGTAATGAAAGTGGTGGTTAAAGAGATATGGCGATGATAATGATGATGATGATAATGATGTTTATACTACTACTACTAATAAAATAATAATAATAATAATAATAATAATAATAATAATAATAATAATAATAATAATAATAATAATAATAATAATAATAATAATGTTGAAAACATTAACAGCTTTCCAAATCCACGATGCACCTGTAAGATGTGAGGCTCTCTCTGTCCTTTTCTCGGAAACCAACTCTTTAACCGTCTGTTGAAACAAGACATACAATACAATACTCTGACATACACCATTTACATCGGTAGAATTCATTTCAACAATAGCATGTCGTTTAAAAACAAATGGAATAACAAATTGGTAATTGGTTATACAAAAATTAAATAAAAGATTAAAATTAAATGTGGTCCTAAATGACATACAGTACGTATCGATAGCGGAAGGCAGTTGCACAAGAAGTTGTACACATGGCTATAAAAAAAAAAAAAAAAAAATACACAGTTTAAGACCTGGTAAGAATATTGATAAAATTGAAAAACCTCATACTAGATAAGAAAAAAAAAATAATAAACTACAGTAAGTTATTAGAGTTAAAGAAATGAAAAATAAAATACTGATAAGCCGTAGACAAAAACCAATTTAATATACAGCTATGATTAGATTAACACTAATTTCTGATTCTGTATAAATATTTAATTATTTATTTGCAGATATAATAAATTGAATTAGTAGAATCAAATTTATTTAATTTGAAATGCTTGAAAGTTTTTGTCAATTTAAAAAAGAAATAATAATAGATAGACGGCAGGTGGCGGTAAAGCTATTTTTGTGTTTTGCTGACGTTTCATACAGAAAAATAATACATTGCTTGAATTTTTCTATATTACCACCCCTTCACGATGGAGTGCAAGCTAAAGTGAACTATTGGATAAAATAATTTTACATTATCATAATAAGCTATGAAATGAGTTTATAGTACTGTCAGATGACACATATTTTTTTTAACGCGTATAACAGGAAACAAATATTACCGTAAAAGTAGGTATCGATTCGTATTGAGTCAATGGTTGTTGGTTCTGGTGGGTACCAGACGCGAATAGTAGGAGTATAACAGGATGGATAGAAATAAGGTCGAATGTTTTGAAAGATTCACCATCGCAGCTTGGAAAAACCCTGTGTTTCGTACAGACTGAAATAGTAAATGGTTATTATTGTTAATATTTTTCGATTGTGGTTACCAGTTCTCAGTCTTCACTTTTTATTTTTATTTTCCCCGTTGCCATTTCTCAGTCCCCTATTTCTCAGTTATGATTCTCAGTTATGTGCAGAACCCTCTGTACATAAGATAAGAAAAATAGGCTTGGTTATGTGTGATACATTATAAGTAAAAGTTATTAATGATGATAGAGGGCGCTACTTTGATTGCTTACTTTATATAAAATATTGGACCTTCCGCTAAGCCCCACCCCTTCGATATTGTTGCTATGGTCCACAAACGGCAATGTAAAATAGTAACAACATGGAGTACCACAGTCGTGTCGTCACGACGCCAGGTGGCGCTCTCTGTTGTCAACAGACGTTGGTTACCGTTCATTACGCCTGAATGACTTCATAGGCTTTCTGGAATAGGCATTTTGAAATATAATATTCGCATTATATTAGTTATCGAACACACATTTAATCATCAATTACAATTTACAAAGAAAAAGTAAGATACAACATGTTATTATTTGCGTTAGAAATTGTGATCAATGGTTTTGTCAGCGGAGAAATTGGCGCCCGGTTGAACACTTTTTGCAACGCTGTTAGCAACGGAGTAGTATCACGCGGTATCGTGACTAACACTGTATTACTCTATACGCAAACACGTGCGTTTGTGAACTGGTAAACACAAGTTGTGAACTCGAGCAGAATTCTCTTCCTCGATTTGCACAAGTACCCGGTAGTGTGGAAAATGGCGGATGTAACACAAACTATGCACAACGAGCATAGGTAATTATTACAATTTGTTTATTAAGTAATATTATTTCAAATAAAAAGAGTTTTATTTGTATTTTTTATTTGCAACCCAACATATTTATTGAAATTTGTTTAAGTAATATTATTTCAGATTTTTTAAAAAAAAGTTGTTTTTCGAACACATTGCAAAAGTGTCAGCAGCCATTTAGCGTTTATCAAATGAATGCACTCTTCTCGTGTTCTCACATGTTACAAGTTGTGAACACCGACTTCACAAGTTCTAATGAACTCAGCAAAAGTCATGCGCGTATTCCTGGTCCTGTTCTGATTGGTATTATACAGTCATTCTCGCAAAGATACTGAAGAGAATTGCATTTTTGGTGAGATTATCAAAAGTGGCGGTCCCCTCTTAGCTTTGCATGTGTCGGGAGAAAGGCATTATTCCTCAAGGTCTAAACAGTGGTGGCGCCAGAGGAGGGCTGAGGTGGGGTGGCTATACCCTCCGTCGGGGAAGCCTAGCCCCCCCCCCCCCCCCCCCCCCCCCCTAGTTGGAGAAGACGTCGAGTTCATTCTGTCGGGGAATAAACAAAATAAAAAAATATTTTTCATTGGCCTATTTGTGTACTGCTTATGTTAACTATCACAATAGTAACAAAAACAACAAAAACAACAACAACAATAATAATAATAATAATAATAATAATAATAATAATAATAATAATAATAATAATAATAATAATAATAATAATAATAACAATAATAATAACAAAAATTCACTTGCCGTCTTATTGACTACCCCTCTATATTACTTTTCACATTGAATTAAGCCCACGATGAAACAACAGATATTCTTCACAGTGAATTAATTACGTTCAAACATCTATTGGAACGTAAGTCAGCAGAACAGTGTTAAGTGTCAAAACAGCTTTGACACTACTTTTTTTAAATGTCAGTGCATATGTTATGTATTGAAATAAGAAAAAAAAAATACAAATTCCCCTCCCCCGTTTGAAAAATTTTGGATCTGCCCCTGTTAATTGAGACTAATTAAAAATGGTTTACGTTCTACTATGACAAATGCTAGTTTGGATATCCTCATGATGCTTGGAATACATCTTGATCGGGGAAGTACCGCGGTAACCTAGTGGTTTACAGATTTCAGGCAAAATTTCCAAAATTTAGAACTTCACTTTGTACTACGTTCCCGGTGACTTTGTGTTTTCTTAATTTATCGTACTATAATGTCACAAAATTGGTGGCCTTTTTAGAGTAAGACATTATTCTTATTCGTAACATTGTTGTTAATAATTCACAATCACATTGATTATGAAAAACCTGGATTTCGCCATAATGGGAGAATAGTATTGTAATGTAAATATTTTCTTGGTCTATATTTTAACATTTAATCCCGGCCCCGAAACTTCGACTCAGAAGTACCGGGATGGTGTCCGGCGGGGGATAGTTTCTACCATTTTTATCTATTTAAGTACGGTAATTGTACAGCATTTGTCCTACCTTGTAATCCCGGCTCCGAAACCTTGACTCAGAAATACCGGGATGGTGTCCGGCGGGGGATAGTTTCTACCATTTTTATCTATTTAAGTAATTGTACAGCATTTGTCCTACATTGTAATCCCGACCCCGAATTCTTGACTCAGAAATACCGGGTTGGTGTCCGGTGGGGATAGTTTTTACCATATTGTAGTTAAGTTATGTGGTTAAGCCTAACCTTGAGCAATAATTCCTGGCCCCAAAACCTTGACTCAGAAGTACCGGGTTGGTGTCCGGCGGGGGATAGTTTTCCACCAGTTTTTACTATTGTTTATTATACTTGTTGTGTGTTGCTATCGTATTCAAACAAACACAATTAAATGACACAATAAACAATATTCCAGCTCTACAATAGCCATTCGTTGTTTATTCATCCACCAGTCCTGATTTAACAACATGTCCGAACCACACACGAGGTATGCTAGTCTTGTAGTCCAGACACTACATCTTCCCCCTTCTTTAGCATTAAAAGCACCCAATTAAATCCATATGAATATATTGTACACAATAATAATTTCTTAATATAAGCTTGTAGAATTACATGCTTTGACTAGGTTTCATTTCTTATGATACTGAAGATTACTGTATTTGTTTCTTTCTCACTGCCTAAAACACTGTAAGTTTTCTTTTCTTTTTTTTTAAACTTTAACAATAATAAACATCATCGTAATATTACAATTTTAAATGATTATATCTTTGCTTTTTTTTTAAAAATCATATTATTTTTTCATTTTCTATCATTCCTTATCATTTTAAAATATTTTAGTATCAATAAATAACACTGTATAACAACAATAACAGTTTTTCAAGATTTCAAGAGAATTCTCAAATTCTAGTAAAACTAAAAACAACTCATCAATATGAACTGTGACTTCTTAATCCTTAACAATCATCAAATCTTTTGGGTTTTTTCCTCTCTCTTACTGGTTTGTTTTGAATATTTTCACAATTGGTTACACTGTCATCTTTCTCTGTGTCAATTTGATTATGTTGTTCAAATGTATCTGTCTTACTGTTATCACAAATAACTTCATCATTATCCATTTGTTTCAGATTATTATTCGGTATTTTGTTACCATTTTCTTCGTCTACTCTTTCATTATAAGATTGAACATGTGTCGAATTTCTTTTATATCTTATACCTTGTGGTGACTCAACCACTACGCTATTTCCCCTTTTCTCTATTACTTTGAATGGTTCTGTGTGATATGGTGTACTCATTTTGTCTCCCTGTGTCTTTTTAACTAAAACCTTATCTCCTTCACACATCTCTCTCGCTTTCGCACCTCTTTTCATCAATGTATAATTTGTTTTTTAATTTTGATACAGCGTCGCGATCTGAAACATCTTCATCATGTACAGTATTATCCTCCAATTCTGGTAATTTTGTTCGCAATTTTCTATTCCACATCATTTCCGCTTGGGTCTGTCCAGTAACACTGTGTGGGGTTGTACGGTATGCAAATAAATACACACGTAATTCTTTCTTCCAGTCTTTTCCTTCAGCTTGCGCAATGCGAATTCGTTTCATTATAGATCTGTTCTGTCGCTCCACCTCTCCATTTGCAGCAGGATGTAATGGCTGTCTCTTATACACATCTAGATGTGTATAAGAGACAGGCATTTGTCCTACATTGTAATCCCGACCCCGAATTCTGTCTCTTATACACATCTAGATGAGTATAAGAGACAGATGTTATTATTTGCGTTAGAAACCTTTGTTTGGTCTTCACTATTCCTAAATGACCTTGATGTGCTAATTCAATGCACTGCAATCTATATTTTGATGGAATAACAAGCCTTGTGTTTCGAAGAACTAAATACCCAAGACATGCAAGTTCCTGTTGTATGGCAGTATACTGAATCAAGCCCTTATCCCATTTGTTTGTCTTTACCCTATCTCTCACCTTGCTCAATTCTGGATCATCTTTGGATGCCTCTTCAACCTCACGTGATGATAGCGCACATGGCGTTGCATTTTATGCGACCAATCGAATATACATCTCTGTATCATCACTGTCATTATTTTGTTGGTCATCGGTTTCTATTGGTAGTCTCGATAAAATATCAGCAATGTTATTTTTGCCAGGTACATACTTTACTGTATAAGAATAAGACATAAGTCTCATCACCCACCTTTCAATCCGTGCATTTGGTTTGGACTTTTGTCCATACAGGCCTTCTAGTGGTTTATGGTCGGTAATTAGGTCAAAATCAAGTCCATATAAATAAACATGAAACCTCTCCATAGCCCACACCACTGCTAATGCCTCTTTTTCCGTTGTTGAATATTTCCTTTCAGCATCGGATAGGGTCCGGCTGGCATAACTTATAACTCTGGTTTCACCATCATGTTTCTGAAGTAAAACTCCACCAATGCCTACATTGCTTGCGTCTGTCACCAATTGAGTACTTTCTGCATCCAACCTGAAATAGCCTAAACATGTTTCATTAGTTAAGCATTCTGTAAGTTTTACATAGCTATTTTCTTGTTTAGCTCCCCAATGGAATTTAGAATCTTTTCGCACTAATCGTCTTAAGTGTTCTGCAACTGTAGCTAAATTTGGAATGTATCGCGCTGAGAAGTTTACTAGACCGAAGAAGCTTTTTATTTCTGCAGTTGTTGCTGGTCTTTTTGATTCTGCTAATGCTCTGACTCTCCCACTTGTAGGCTTAATTCCTTTTGCTGACAAAGTGTGACCCATGAATGTAATCTGTGGTACGGAAAATTGACACTTGTCCTTGTTGAGAGTCAAATTTTTCTCTTTGAATTTCTCAAGCACTACACTAAGTCTCTCATCATGTTCAGCCTGTGTTCTTCCATGTACAACAATGTCATCTGATATGTTGGCTACGCCTTCACACCCACTCAACGTCTGACTAATCACTCTTTGGTACTTTTCTGGAGCAGCATTTATCCCAAACATCAACCGTTTGTAACGATAAAGACCTTTACTTGTTATGAATGTTGTGATGTTTCGTGATTGCTCATCTAATTCAATTTGATGATAGCCATAATTCATATCTAATTTCGAGAACACTGTACTTTCATTCATCTCATACAGCACTTCATCAACTGTGGGGATTGGATGTCTCTCCCTCTTAACTGCTCTATTTGCCTGTTTCATATCTACGCAAAGGTGTATATCACCATTTAGGTTTTGGAACTACTATGACGGGACTTACCCAATCACTCGGTTCATCTACCTTTTCGATTATGTCAAGAGATTCCAACTCGTCTAATTTGTCACTCACTTTATCTCTAAGACTAAAGGTTACTCTATACATATTCTGAGCAACTGGCGTTACCTGTTCATCAATAAATAAATGTAACTTGTAATCTTTTAATTTACCAATACCTGTAAACACCTTTGTATACTTATCTTGTACACTATTTATTCCTTGTGGGATGCCGATATTTAGCACTCCAAGCTTCATTGCCGTATCATATCCCAACAAAGCAGGACCTTTCCCTTTCAGCACATATACTTCTGCTGTTATATACACATCTACGAAACATTTGTGGTAAATTTCCCTAATAATTCTAACGGTTTTGTTGACCCATATGCATATAACTTTCTGTTTGTCAACTCAGATTTACACTTAATTTGCTTACATTTTAACTTTTGCCATAAATCTTTATCTATGATATTTGCTGTAGCACCACTATCAATAATCATTTCTACCTTATGTACATCCATACAAACATTTACCTTTGTGGCTTTAGAATTTATATGCATAATATCATCACGTATACCAAAAGCATAATCATCTTCATTTTCACTTTGAACATTACGAATACCACCACCACGTCTCTTTACCTTTCTGTCTCTACCTACTTTACTTTTGCAAACAGCAAAATGTCCAGGTAATTTACATTTAGTACATTGCTTGCCTCTCGCAGGACAACATTTATGCCTAGCAAAATGTCCTTCTTTCCCGCAGCGAAAACACTTCCATGTACCTTGATTACTATCACTGACCTTTGGCCTACTTGATCTGTTACCATTCGAATTTCCAGCCTGGCTCTTGCTTCTGCTATTCATACTTGACCTTGAAAATCTCTCATTTCTCACTGCATTTACACTTGGTGTTTCCACTCCAACTCCTTCCGACATTTCCTTTGCTTGTTGTTCACTCATTTCGAATGTGCTAGCTATTGTTTTTAAATTTGCTAATTTCAAAGTGTTCCCCTTTTCCAGTAATTTTATTCTCAGTTTATTCGATTTGCATTTCTCGATCACATGGTCTCTAATTAATTCATCAATCTGATCAGCATCAAAATCACATCGTGTAGCCTGCTGTCTCAATCTGTTAATAAACTGGTTAATAGTTTCATCGTCATTTTGAGTTAATTTTCTAAAACAATACCGGTAACGCTCAATAACGTTGGTTTTCATTACAAATTGTTTATTTAATGTTTTCACAACATCATACTCATCTGTTCCATTCTCCTCTGTTACACAATCATATATGTCCTGTACAGCTAATCCAGCACAATGTAATAATAAAGCTTTCTTTTGCTTTTTGTTTACCACTCCTTTACCGGTAGCATATAACTCGAAACTGCGAAGCCATTTCTTCCACTGTTCAGCCGAAGCATGGACGTCATGTGGATCGTACGCAGCGACTCCAGTGATCTCAATGTTCACAGCGCTCATCGTACAGCAGTACAGTATTAAAACAAAACTATCGCAAAATTATACTATTCAAACTTACAGTTGGTTCGACAGCCTCGTCGCCAATGTTGTGTGTTGCTATCGTATTCAAACAAACACAATTAAATGACACAATAAACAATATTCCAGCTCTACAATAGCCATTCGTTGTTTATTCATCCACCAGTCCTGATTTAACAACATGTCCGA